AAACTTAAAGAGTAGGTCTCTCACCCTAAATACCGGTCCTGGATTCGTCACATCCTTTCTCCGCCTGCTTCTCAAAACGATCCGAGGGGAGGGTCTTTGGACCTTCTCCAAACTGTCTAAAGACCAAACCCTGGGAACACATCATCCCCACGATCACTGGCTCCCTGTCAATTTCACATCACCTACAAGATCCTAATGCTCACCTACAAGGCCCTCCATGGCCTCGCTCCCTCATACATGGGCAAATAACTCAAGATAAAAAATATATACAGTGGGGAGAAAAGGTATTTGATACACTGCCGACTTTGCAGGTTTTCCTACTTACAAAGCATGTAGATGTTTGTAATTTTTATCATAGGTACACTTCAACTGTGAGAGACGGAATCTAAAACAAAAATCCAGAAAATAACATTGTATGATTTTTAAGTAATTAATTTGCATTTTATTGCATGACATAAGTATTTGATCACCTACCAACCAGTAAGAATTCCAGGTCTCACAGACCTGTTCGTTTTTCTTTAAGAAGCCCTCCTGTTCTCCACTCATTACCTGTATTAACTGCACCTGTTTGAACTCGTTACCTGTATATTATAAAAGACACCTGTCCACAAACTCAATCAAACAGACTCCAACCTCTCCACAATGGCCAAGACCAGAGAGCTGTGTAAGGACATCAGGGATAAAATTGTAGACCTGCACAAGGCTGGGATGGGCTACAGGACAATAGGCAAGCAGCTTGGTGAGAAGGCAACAACTGTTGGCGCAATTATTAGAAAATGGAAGAAGTTCAAGATGACGGTCAATCACCCTCGGTCTGGGGTTCCATGCAAGAGCTCACCTCGTGGGGCATCAATGATCATGAGGAAGGTGAGGGATCAGCCCAGAACTACACGGCAGGACCTGGTCAATGACCTGAAGAGAGCTGGGACCACAGTCTCAAAGAAAACCATTAGTAACACACTACGCCATCATGGATTAAAATCCTGCAGCGCACGCAAGGTCCCCCTGCTCAAGCCAGCGCATGTCCAGGCCCGTCTGAAGTTTGCCAATGACCATCTGGATGATCCAGAGGAGGAATGGGAGAAGGTCATGTGGTCTGATGAGACAAAAATAGAGCTTTTTGGTCTAAACTCCACTCGCCGTGTTTGGAGGAAGAAGAAGGATGAGTACAACCCCAAGAACACCATCCCAACTGTGAAGCATGGAGGTGGAAACATCATTCTTTGGGGATGCTTTTCTGCAAAGGGGACAGGACGACTGCACCGTATTGAGGGGAGGATGGATGGGGCCATGTATCGCGAGATCTTGGCCAACAACCTCCTTCCCTCAGTAAGAGCATTGAAGATGGGTCGTGGCTAGGTCTTGCAGCATGACAACGACCCGAAACACACAGCCAGGGCAACTAAGGAGTGGCTCCGTAAGAAGCATCTCGAGGTCCTGGAGTGGCCTAGCCAGTCTCCAGACCTGAACCCAATAGAACATCTTTGGAGGGAGCTGAAAGTCTGTATTGCCCAGCGACAGCCCCGAAACCTGAAGGATCTGGAGAAGGTCTGTATGGAGGAGTGGGCCAAAATCCCTGCTGCAGTGTGTGCAAACTTGGTCAAGACCTACAGGAAACGTATGATCTCTGTAATTGCAAAAAAAGGTTTCTGTACCAAATATTAAGTTCTGCTTTTCTGATGTATCAAATACTTATGTCATGCAATAAAATGCAAATTAATTACTTAAGAATCATACAATGTCATTTTCTGGATTTTTTAAAGTGTACATATGATAAAAATTACAGACCTCTACATGCTTTGTAAGTAGGAAAACCTGCAAAATCGGCAGTGTATCAAATACTTGTTCTCCCCACTGTATATAATTTCGCACAAACTAGAAGCCATGAGTCAATTTGTCAAAAAGAATGGCACCGATTGGCCTATAATAGGCGCTGTTATAAGCAGTCTCACTTAAACCCTCATATCCGCCGCCCTGGTTGACCTAGAGACTTAAAAGTGTGTATCCCATAGGGTCCATTAGGATGGATTTTCCTCCATCTTGGAAAACATAGAAAAACTTATTCTCATGAACCATATGTCAAAATAACACCAAATTATGTAGGCACATGGTACATCTCTTAAACTAAGGGATTGGTTAAGATATGGCTGAGTTTTGATAAATTAGGAAATCAGATTTTACATGTCCATTTAAATCCTTTGTAAATACTCTCCACAATGGCCTATCAACTTAAAACTGTTTATTCATCAAATATATTACCATAATGAACAATGTTCAGTTTTGCATGTCTTACAAAAATAAGGAAACTATTAACAATGAACTGTTTTGACTATGTAACGCTAATGCTTAAAATAATTATATAAAATCTTCTCATGGACTAAAAGTCAGATTCACTCCAAATTTGGTCTCTGGACTCATCACAATACTCCCTAAAGAGAAAATAACATTAATGCATTGAAAGATGGCCACACTATACCAGGATATGCATATTAGCACATATGCTAAAATATTATTCTCACGAACGATAGGTTCAAATTGGTACGTCTTAACTTAGTTTGAGAAAAGCTAAGGGATTGGTCAAAAGATGGCTGAGTTATTGACAAAAACCTGACTTTACGTGTCCATTTAAACCACTGTAAATCCACTACACAGTGGCCTATCAACTTGAAACTTGTCATAGCCATTATGGACGTCCCTAAGATGAACCACACTGAATATGATATTGATATCTCAAAACACAAAAAAACTATTAACAAGTAATTCTATGCATATGTAATGCTAACACTCAAAATCATCTATAATCATCTTCTCCTCATGAATCATAAGTCAGATTCACTCTAAGATGTATGTTAAAAGCTAATGAAAACTCAAACATTAGAAACAAACGTACTAATATAAAAACTTGAGAAAATATCAAAATTGTATTTTAGATGCATTTTATTCCATATAGTGTATTTATTTTGTGCAATGGTAAGAATACATCTCCAAGTAGAAGATACACACACACCACTCCAAATAAAATTGAAATAAATCATTTACATACAGTTGAAGTCGGAAGTTTACATACACTTAGGTTGGAGTAATAAAAACTAATTTTTCAATCACTCCGAAAATGTCTTGTTAACAAACTATAGTTTTGGCAAATCGGTGAGGACATCTACTTAGTGCATGACAAGTAATTTTTCCAACAATTGTTTACAGACAGATTATTTCACTTATAATGCACTGTATCACAATTACAGTGGGTCGGAAGTTTACATACACTAAGTTGACTGTACCTTTAAACAGCTTGGAAAATTCCAGAAAATGATGTCATGGCTTTAGAATAATAATAATAATAATAATAATAATAATAATAATAATAATAATAATAAGCCATTTAGCAGACGCTTTTATCCAAAGCGACTTAGTCATGTGTGCATACATTTTTACGTATGGGTGGTCCCGGGGATCGAACCCACTACCCTGACGTTACAAGCGCCATGCTCTACCAATTGAGCTACAGAGGACAAATTGACATCATTTGAGTCAATTGGAGGTGTACCTGTGGATGTATTTCAAGGCCTACCTTCAAACTCAGTGCCTCTTTGCTTGACATCATAGGAAAATCTAAAGAAATCAGCCAAGACCTCAGAAAAAAAATTGTAGACCTCCACAAGTCTTGTTCATCCTTGGGAGCAATTTCCAAACGCATGAAGGTACCACGTTCATCTGTACAAACAATAGTACGCAAGTATAAACACCATGGGACCACGCAGCCGTCATACCGCTCAGGAAGGAGACGCATTCCGTCTCCTAGAGATTAACGTACTTTGGTTCGAAAAGTGCAAATCAATCCCAGAACAACAGCAAAGGCCCTTAGTATAATAATAATAATAATAATAATAATAATAATAATAATGCCATTTAGCAGACGCTTTTATCCAAAGTGACTTACAGTCATGTGTGCATACATTTTTAAGTATTGGTAGTCCCGGGGATCGAACCCACTACCCTGGCGTTACAAGCGCCATGCTCTACCAATACAGAGGACCACATCTCCTTGTGAAGGTGCTGGAGGAAACAGGTACAAAAGTGTATATATCCACAGTAAAACGAGTCCTATATCGACATAAACTGAAAGGCCGCTCAGCAAGGAAGAAGCCACCGCTCCAAAACCGCCATATAAAAGCCAGACTACGGTTTGCAACTGCACATGGGGACAAAGATCGTACTTTTGGGAGAAATGTCCTCTGGTCCGATTAAACAAAAATAGAACCGTTTGGCCATAATGACCATCGTTATGTTTGTAGGAAAAAGGGGAATGCTTGCAAGCCGAAGAACACCATCCCAACCGTGAAGCACGGGGGTGGCAGCATTATGCTGTGGGGGGTGCTTTGCTGCTGGAGGGACTGGTGCACTTCACAAAATAGATGGCATCATGAGGAAGGAAAATTATGTGGATATATTGAAGCAACATCTCAAGACATCAGTCAGGAAGTTAAAGCTTGGTCGCAAATGGGACTTCCAAATGGACAATGACCCCAAGCATACTTCCAAAGTTGTGGCAAAATGGCTTAAGGACAACAAAGTCAAGGTATTGGAGTGGCCATCACAAAGCCCTGACCTCAATCCTATAGAATTTTTGTGGGCAGAACAGGAAAACTGTGTGAGAGCAAGGAGGCCTACAAACCTGACTCAGTTACACCAGCTCTGTCAGGAGGAATGGGCCAAAATTCACCCAACTTATTGTGGGAAGCTTGTGGAAGGCTAACCGAAACGTTTGACCCATGTTAAACAATTTAAAGGCAATGCTACATAATACTAATTGAGCGTATGTAAACTTCTGACCCACTGGGAATGTGATGAAAGAAATAAAAGCTGAAATAAATCATTCTCTCTACTATTATTCTCACATTTCACATTCTTAAAATAGAGTGGTGATCCTAACTGACCTAAGACAGGGAATTTGTACTAGGATTAAATGTCAGGAATTGTGAAAAACAGAGTTTAAATGTATTTGGCTAAGGTGTATGTAAACTTCAGACTTCAACTGTAAACTTTACGTCATTTTGAAATGACTCGTATTTTACTCATGTAATAGGTATATTCAGGACTGCTGACTTGAATGGAAATAAAATTATGAAAAAAGCTTTGCCATCATAACATTTTGTTGAGCATTCACACACAATTCATTTGTAAGCATTTGCCTTATGCTTGGGCAGAAAGTTGAAATTCTTGGGTACAGGTCCAAGCAGCATTTCACTGTGGAGAAGGGGAACATAGACTATTATTAAAAACCCTTTTCCATTAAACTATTCAGCATGTTGTGTGTAATTTGAACAGATATTCAGCAGACATTAGTATAGAGGTAGTCTATACTAATTCAAACCAACTGACAAATGGGAATATTTTTACAGTGCATTAATGCGCGCTCCTTATCGTATTGGCTGGTTAAGCTAAAAGCCACCATATAAAGCCCTCGAGAACAAGGGTTGAGACACGAGACATTGCTCTTGCAACCTCCTACTATGCTATTTTTAATTGGAAACATCAACTACTGAGATTGATTCAAGAGGTCAGTGCGAATGAGAACTAGCATACACTGGCGGCTATAAGAACCTAGGTTAGGATAAGCAACAGTGATCTTCACCTGATCTTGATCCAGTCCCCTACGTGTTGACTTGCCATGAGAGACTCCAGGTAGTCCCTGCCCAAGTAGTAGGGTGGTCGCTCGTTGATCCTCTGGGGCACTCGTTCCAGCAGCCCAACTGGTATGTACCTTACAAAGGAGAGAGGGTTAGATTGGCATGTCCACATTAAATGTGTTGAGGTGTTGATGTTTACAGCTATAAATTAATGAAGAATATTTTTGAATTGGTTGAATTCTAGATTTGTGAAAGACGGCAAATACAGAGAGAAAAATGATTTTGTGACAGTCCCGCCGGTATGGATGATTTTCTAGTACATATGTTGTAGAATGAAACGCCTATATGCCTTAAATGCTTATGGATTAAGAACCAATTAAAGGGTTAAAACAGAGCAGAGACATTTATTTAGTGCAAATGCTCTGCTTCTGATAATGGATGGTTCCCTCTAATTCCCCGCAGCTGGTCTGGGTGTGTCAATGACATGTGATGGAGATACAACTTCTCGTTGTGGCTGTGTGGAGATTGGAGTAACAATAGAACTAGTGTTATCACTTGTTTGTGCTTATGACCTGACATACATAGCCACATGCACATAGTCACAAGGAAAAACCATAGTGGCTCAGGGTCCTGGGAGGATGGCAGTTGGGAAAGGCTTAAATGTATGTTATGAACTTGACATGTGTAAACCATGTTTAAGTATTAATTGATATGTCTTATAATGTGTTATGAAATGATAAAGGGTAAAACAGAATGAACATAATTGATACTTTGTACTCCAGATGCATGCCTGGATAGTGAATATAGTCAATACAGAGTGTGATTGTTCTTTAACGTATGTATGTATATAATTTCTTGAGACACGCCACCAAAATAATGAGATAAGTGACAGAGGCCCCATTTAGAGAAGCGCACGTAGCCCTCGTGAGTAAACAACATGTGACACCGAAGTATGTTAATCATGTACATATAATGAAGTAACTGTGTAGGTTGTATAAGCATGACTATGCATTGTGTCTGTATAAAAGGAGAGCTCCGAGTCAGGGCAGGCAGTTGCTCCATGGACCAGCTCGGCTTTGTTTCGCTTTAATCAAGTCTATTCTGAATTCACAAGCTCCGTTTGTTTTTAGAGATACTTTTGAGTTAAATATATTTCTACCACACCGGTTCTCTTGTTTGTTTGTCTTCACCTACCAAACTATTGATCAACCTTTAATGCCCTAAAACAACTATTATTATATGTTTCTAAGCATTATTACAGTGTGAATACCACCTGATACCTCGTGCATATACGAGTACCCACCTGCACATGAAGGACAGCCATTCCAGCAAGAAGTTCCTGGTCTTCTCCAGGCCTTGGGTGTCTGAGCCCCAGTGCTCCAAGCCGTAGTGGGTGAAGTCCCTGAGGACATCCAGCCGCTCGCTGGACGAGATGTCCCAGTCCCGCCTCTCCTTGATCTCTGTGAAAACCCAGGGCTTGATGAGGGCACCCCTGCCCGAGAGAAAAAGTATTACAACCAGAGCTGGAGTCGAAACCTCCTCGGGGACCCCCAGCTGTTCCATGTATTTTAACTATTCCACAGCTAGCACACCTGATTCAAATGGTCAACTAATCATCAAGCCCTTGACTAGGTGAATCAGGTGAGTTAGTTCAGGGCTACAACAACATTGTGACACGTCTGGGGGGTCCCAGAGGAGAGGTTTGAGAAACACTGAGTTAAGGGACTGAATTGGACGTGCGTCCCATCACAAATCAACCCATAGCCCTTCATCAAGCCTCCCTATGCACTTCTGTAGATCTGAAAGGATTGGATAAAAGTAAGCTATACGGTATCCACTCATCCTATCAGAGCGCACTACTCTGATCAGTCAAATTGTGTGAAATCCAAAGCATGTCTATTCTTTTCCATTAAGATACCAACCTTGCCAGCATAATACCCGAAACTTCAGTCTCTCTAGCCTTCATGGCGTCATCATAAGACAAAATGTCTCCATTACCTGCATAGAAGAGATATTAGGTTTATCAGGTGCACTCACACACTAAACACACAGAAAGAAACAAACATGCACGCATGAACACACACAGAGCCCTCTGCCTTAGTTATTGACAGAGAGCGCCCCTTCCTATCTGCTCAATGAACTGTAAAACCCACTGGTTGTATATAATCAGTTTGTATGTCGGAGGAAAGCAAAGTCTCAGTAAAACAGAGTATTGCAGAATCTGATGTCCCTCTGGAAGGAGATCCTCGCTCTGAGTTCACTAAGTTTATTCATTAATGATTGAACATTGGCAAGTAGTATGCTCGGTAATGGAGGACGGGTCGCGTGGCATCTCAATCTCACAAGGCGGAGGGCTCTGCCAATGTTCAATCATTAATTAATAAACTTGGTGAACTCAGAGCGAGGATCTCCTTCCAGAGGGCCATCAAATTCTGCAACATACTCTGTTTTACTGAGACATACAAACTGATTATATACAACCAGTGGGTTTTACAGTTCATCGAGCGGATAGGAAGCGGGCTCTCTCTGGCAAGAACAAAGGCAGAGGGCTCTGCTTCATGACCAATAACAAGTGGTTCCACGGGGAAAACGTACAGGAAGTTGCGAGCTTCTGTTCTCCTGACTTGGAAAAAATGGTCATCAAATATCGCCCTTTTTAGCTTCCGAGAGAGTTCCCAGGGATTATTGCCATGGCTGTGTACGTCCCGCCCCAAGCAGACACCAAAATGTATCTCAAAGATCTTCATTGGACCCTGAACAAGCTGGAGACCGCATACCCTTAGGCAGCGTTTATTGTCGCAGGGGATTTGAACAAAAGTAATTTGAGGTCCGTGCTCCCGAATTATCAACACATTGACGGTCCAACTCGCGCAAATTCCACGCTTGACCACTGCTATACGCCTTTTCGACACGGGTATAAGGCTCCATTCCATCCTCAAATCTGACCACGACTCCATTTTGCTCCTCCCCGCCTACATTAAAATATTCAAGAGGGATGTTCCAGTGGTCAGGTCTGTACAACGCTGGTCCGACCAATCAAAATCCATGCTCCAAGACTGTTTTGATCACTTGTTCCAGATCGCCTCTGAGGATAAAATTAATAAATACGCTAAGTCACCGGATTCATAAAATAATTTGATGATGTGATAGCGATGGGGTCTTTCACAACTTACCTGAATCAAAAACCATGGATTGATGGCAGCCTTGCCAGGAAACTGAAGAATGGTCAATTATTATGTTACAGTTGTCAATATGTACAGTTGAAGTCAGACGTTTACATACACTTAGGTTGGAGTCATTAAAACTTGTTTTTCAACCACTCCACAAATTTCTTGTTAACAAACTATAGTTTTGGCAAGTCGGTTAGGACATCTACTTTGTGCATGACAAGTAATTTTTCCAACAATTGTTTACAGACAGATTATTTCACTTATAATTCACTATATCACAATTCCAGTGGGTCAGAAGTTTACATACATCAAGTTGGCTGTGCCTTTAAACAGCTTGGAAAATTCCAGAAAATGATGTCATGGCTTTAGAAGCTTCTGATAGGCTAATTGACATCATTTGAGTCAATTGGAGGTGTACCTGTGGATGTATTTCAAGGCCTACCTTCAAACTCAGTGCCTCTTTGCTTGACATCATGGGAAAATCAAAATAAATCAGCCAAGACCACAGAAAGAAAATGTGTAGACCTCCACAAGTATGGCTCATCCTTGGGAACAATTTCCAAACGCCTGAAGGTACCACGTTCATCTGTACAAACAATAGTACGTAAGTATAAACACCATGGAACCACGCAGCTGTCATACTGCTCAGGAAGGAGACGCATTCGGTCTCCTGGAGATGAACGTACTTTGGTGCAAAAAGTGCAAATCAATCCCAGAACAACAGCGAAGGACCTTGTGAAGATGCTGGAGGAAACAGGTACAAAAGTATCTATATACACAGTAAAACGAGTCCTACAGTGGGGAGAACAAGTATTTGATACACTGCCGATTTTGCAGGTTTTCCTACTTACAAAGCATGTAGAGGTCTGCAATTTTTATCATAGGTACACTTCAACTGTGAGAGACGGAATCTAAAACAAAAATCCAGAAAATCACATTGTATGATTTTTAAGTAATTAATTTGCATTTTATTGCATGACATAAGTATTTGATACATCAGAAAAGGAGAACTTAATATTTGGTACAGAAACCTTTGTTTGCAATTACAGAGATCATACGTTTCCTGTAGGTCTTGACCAGGTTTGCACACACTGCAGCAGGGATTTTGGCCCACTCCTCCATTCAGACCTTCTCCAGATCCTTCAGGTTTTGGGGCTATCGCTGGGCAATACGGACTTTCAGCTCCCTCCAAAGATTTTCTATTGGGTTCAGGTCTGGAGACTGGCTAGGCCACTCCAGGACCTTGAGATGCTTTTTACGGAGCCACTCCTTAGTTGCCCTGGCTGTGTGTTTCGGGTCGTTGTCATGCTGGAAGACCCAGCCACGACCCATCTTCAATGCTCTTACTGAGGGAAGGAGGTTGTTGGCCAAGATCTCGCGATACATGGCCCCATCCATCCTCCCCTCAATACGGTGCAGTCGTCCTGTCCCCTTTGCAGAAAAGCATCCCCAAAGAATGATGTTTCCATCTCCATGCTTCACCGTTGGGATGGTGTTCTTGGGGTTGTACTCATCCTTCTTCTTCCTCCAAACACAGCGAGTTGAGTTTAGACCAAAAAGCTCTATTTTTGTCTCATCAGACCACATGACCTTCTCCCATTCATCCTCTGGATCATCCAGATGGTCATTGGCAAACTTCAGATGGGCCTGGACATGCGCTGGCATGAGCAGGGGGACCTTGCGTGCGCTGCAGGATTTTAATCCATGATGGCGTAGTGTGTTACTAATAGTTTTCTTTGAGACTGTGGTCCCAGCTCTCTTCAGGTCATTGACCAGGTCCTGCAGTGTAGTTCTGGGCTGATCCCTCACCTTCCTCATGATCATTGATGCCCCACGAGGTGAGATCTTGCATGGAGCCCCAGACCGAGGGTGTTTGACCGTCATCTTGAACTTCTTCCATTTTCTAATAATTGCGCCAACAGTTGTTGCCTTCTCACCAAGCTGCTTGCCTATTGTCCTGTAGCCCATCCCAGCCTTGTGCAGGTCTACAATTTTATCCCTGATGTCCTTACACAGCTCTCTGGTCTTGGCCATTGTGGAGAGGTTGGAGTCTGTTTGATTGAGTGTGTGGACAGGTGTCTTTTATACAGGTAACGAGTTCAAACAGGTGCAGTTAATACAGGTAATGAGTGGAGAACAGGAGGGCTTCTTAAAGAAAAACTAACAGGCCTGTGAGAGCCGGAATTCTTACTGGTTGGTAGGTGATCAAATACTTATGTCATGCAATAAAATGCAAATTAATTACTTAAAAATCATACAATGTGATTTTCTGGACTTTTGTTTTAGATTCCGTCTCTCACAGTTGAAGTGTACCTATGATAAAAATTACAGACCTCTACATGCTTTGTAAGTAAGAAAACCTGCAAAATCGGCAGTGTATCAAACACTTGTTCTCCCCACTGTATATCGACATAACCTGAAAGGCCGCTCAGCAAGGAAGAAGCCACTGCTCCAAAACCGCCATAAAAAAGCCAGACTACGGTTTACAACTGCACATGGGGACAAAGATCGTACCTTTTGGAAAAATGTCCTCTGGTCTGATGAAACAAAAATAGAACTGTTTGGCCATAATGACCATCATTATGTTTGGAGGACAAAGGATAACGTTTGCAAGCCGAAGAACACCTTCCCAACTGTGAAGCATGTGGAAGGCTACCCGAAACGTTTGACCCAAGTTAAATAATTTAAAGGCAATGCTACCAAATACTAATTTAGTGTATGTAAACTTCTGACCCACTGGGAATATGATGAAAGAAATAAAAGCTGAAATAAATCTCTACTATTATTCTGACATTTCACATTCTTAAAATAAAGTTGTGATCCTAACTGACCTAAGACAGGGAATTTTTACTAGGATTAAATGTCAGGAATTGTGAAAAACTGAGTTTAAATGTATTTGGCTAAGGTATATGTAAACCTCCGACTTCAACTGTACCTCCAACTTCAACTGTATATATTATGTAAGGGACAATCAACGAGGGGATATGTGTTCTCTGGAAAATAATGAATGACGTGGAAGGTGTGTCCTAGCGGAGTGGAACTAACCTTCCAGAGAATGCATAGAGCCCCGAGTTGATTATAACCCTTTCATACCATTGCTATAATTTAACTAATTTACAGCTAGAAATGTGTTAATTTGCAGGTAGAAATGTGTTCAACATCCACTCAAGTAGCTAGCAAGTTTACTAGATAGCGACAGTAGTTGCCTTGGTAACCAAACAAACAGCCAACCAAGTCCTAGCTTGCCATTACGAAAATCGAATTCAACAATGCCAATGTTTTCAATTAGACCTTTTCTTTCAAAAGCATCTCAAACATAGAATATGTAAGAACTATAGCCATTGAATTCTACCGTGCAAATATACTGTGCGTTATAGAGAAATAATGCATGCTCTAGAATGCCCTTGAAGCCAATCAGAAACAAGTATTCAACAACGCCATGGTATAATATTATTTTAGTTTTTATTGTTTCATTCACTTCCTTTTGACCTGCACTGTTGGAGCTCAGAGCTTAAGAATTGCACTCTACCTTGCTATTACATCTGCAACCCTGTGCATGTGACTAATAAACTCTCAAAATCGAACTTACCAAAGAGTGGGATGGGGCTGGCGAGTTGGGAGCAGGTATTGATGTAGTCCCAGTCAGCTGACTTGGTATAGCGCTGTTCCCTGGACCTGCCATGCAACTGCATAGAGATTTGAAATTACTCTTATGCTACACATCCCTGCCTGTGACACCACCAACACCCCAACAATACAGAACAGTTTACTTAGGCTAGATCGATTTAGGATTCAGCATTACATTCTGACACACGTACCGTGATCATGGACACCCCCCACCTCTTCATCTCTGGGATGAGTTTATGTGCGATGTTGGCCTTCTCCTGAACGCCGGTACGAATCTTGACAGTCAAAGGGACATCCAGAACCTGAGGAAAAAAACAACAAAGTCCCTTTACATACCAGATCTGAGTTCAAGTAATATTTGTTTTCGTTCAAATGATTTGAGCGTTTGATTGAGCCTGCATGTAGTGTAACATCTCCAATACCATAGCTGAGCAAATAAGGAATTTTACTACATAGAAGCATCACTTACAGAGTTCATTCCTCTGATGATTTGCTCAAACTTGTTGGTGCGCGTCATCAGCCCACAACCTCCGCCCTAAAGAAAGGGAAAGGAAGATCATATTGATCATCTGTTTTAGAGGGCCGGTTTCCCAGACACATTAACACAAATCCTGGACTAAAAAGCAAGCTCAATGGAGAATGTCCAGAAGATTCAGAAGATTATACCTTCTTGTATACAAGGTCAATGGGACACCCCGAGTTGATGTCCACAAAGTCCACGTCGATTTTGTTGTTGAGTAGCTCTGCACATCTGGTCATCGTGTCAGGAAAGCATCCCTCCACCTAAAATTGTAAATTACCAGACTTTTAGTTAGGACCAAGGCCTTAAAGCTAGAATCCTTAGTTGCTATATAAAAGTTGTAAAGACCTCATGAGCTTAGTTCAACTGTCGTACCACATCAGAACCCAAAATATAAGCTTGTTTTACTCCAATGTTTGTAAACCATGTAAACAAACACTGTATCAAGACATAGTTAAAACTATAATTGTATTATTTTATAATAATTTTGACATCATGGTTGGTCAGTGCTTGCATCCATAGCTCCATCTATGCATTTGAGAGTGGTTACATTTCTCCAGGCCCATCCCTCAGCATTTTACCAAAACATAGGTGGGGTGATGCTTTGTTATCGCTTCAATTAAGGATTCTACCTTTAAAATTAAACAGTTTCAAAGACCTTTACTTTGGGCTCAAATTACCTGGAGGTTAGATCTGAATTGATGGACTAAGATAATGCCCAACTTTCCCATTAATTTGTGATTGAGGCAAACATCTAGATCTACACAAACGAGGGACATAGACTAAAGTCAAGAAATGTCTGACAAACTTGAGTGATCTACTACCACTTCTACTATCACTTTTAAAACCGTCATGGGGTGGAACAAGCTCAAGCACACTGCCCAGAACAGAGTTCAATGGAGAGGAGTTATCGATGGCCTATGCTCCGTGGGGAGCAATGGGCTAAAGTAAGTATTCAGATGTAGATAATCGTTGGTTATCCGGTCTCCTTAAAGAAATATATATCTATCACTTTCAGCCTGGTCTAACCTGCACACCGAAAAGGTCCTCGCTCTCGTGTCTCTTGAGGAGCGCCCATTCGGATGACTGGCCCTGCAGCAGGTTGGTACACATGGCCATCTCTCCACACGTAATGTCGGCGCCGAAGCGTTTGCATATACGACGGAAAGGCAGGTTTCCACACTGAGAGGAATGAATTTTATTAGATCATTCTAAAATACATAATGCAGAAAACAACACACACATTAAAAATCATAGATTATATGAAACAAAGTCACTTATTTTCATTGTGGTCCTGTTTGGAATATGAAATATGAAATATCAAGCCATTAGTCTGTGCACATTGGGTCGCTTTCCCGGACCCAGAACAAGCTTATTCCTGGACTAAAAAACCCTATTAAAAGAGATTTTCAGTTGAGCATGGGTTTTAGTCCAGGAGTAGGATTAATCAGCCTGGGAAAGTGGCCAATTCCGTTCCAAGGACCGACTTACCGTTGTTAAGGGAGCAAGATACAGCTTGTCTTTGAAGTCCACCTTTAGGAAGAATAAAAACATAACGTTACTATTTGGTTTATACAACTTCTTAATATTAAAATGGGCTGTTAATATCTAAATGAGCCTAATATACAAAGTGCCACTGAGATCCACGACATGCAAGACAAAATACCTTGCACTGTGTTTAAGTCAAGCGGCTCAAACATACCTGCTTCTTTTCACATTGTCGTAGCTTTATAACATCAGCATCAGTCAACGGCCCAATGGTTTTCACTAGAGCCAGGTTCTCCTGGCTAACCTGCAATTTTCCAAAAAGTAAACAACTTGTTGAGGAAAACCCTTCTAGACACCATACAGTAAATTACCAGCCACGGGAAGGGCTTCCCAAATAGCACAGATCTATTTATTATATTTCCCAGCCAGGCAGTTTTTTCCTTGCCACTGTCAACTCTACTTGCTCTTTGAAGATTAAGGCCCAGGTCGCTGTTAAGCACTTTGTGATAAATGTAGTAGTAGTTGTAGTGTAATAGTGTTGCTACTGTACCTCAGTTCCCTGGTTGTCTGTTTGTGGTTTCTTCCCTTCAGAACACTGAGAGTGGACCGCCGCTGAGCAACAGTTATCAGCTAAGGGAGATAAAACTTTGAACTTTCAGAGAATTATCATCAACACCTGATTAGCGTGAAAATCAAATTATAAATATTTAATAAATTAATTAATCCATTTAACTTATTCTAACACCATCTCTACACCTGATAAGTCTTTACAAACTGTAAAGCTACTTGAAATGGGGTTTGGCATTGAGAGTGGTACAGAAAGAAAACTGACCAAACAAATATATATGGCCAATTCTGCAACTAAAAACAGTGAAATTCCTGCGAATATCAGCCGGTGATACATCGCAAAACCACCAGGAGTGTATTTACTAGGAACCAAACATAACCAAACAGAAGCAAACGTAGAGGGACCTACCTGAATTTGTCCAATAGAAACTCTTGTTTTCGTTGCAAAACATTTTTCTACAGTGCAAAACATTTTGCTACGGTGTATGACTAATGAATATAACCCAGGTGACATATCGCTTCCACAAAATGGCAGACCCACCGAGCCTTACCGTTCTCTACTGCTGCAGCTTTTTTCCAGCCCTCTCCTGCTTTGTGTCCGCCTTTGAAAATGGTCTTCATGTAGGCTTCAGACGCTGTAAAGGGGACCACCTTCTTGCGGAGGCGCCACTGCAGGTCCTTGTCCAGGCTATTCCTCACTGGCGTTCTCCCCTCCATGGCTTTCACGCAGTCCTCGTTCACTAGGTTTTTGAGGTCAGCGCTCGTGTGGGCCCGGGCAAACCGGCAGCTCAGGCCGTAGCGGCACTTCCCGAAGGTGTCGTAGAGGTAGCAGTGCTCTCCAACGTCGGCGGGCTTGGAGGCCATGTACTCAGCAACGTCATGGAAGAACTTGCATTTGTCGCCGTAAACACATTTGGTCTCGCGCTCCTGGGGGAGTTCAATGAGAAAATATAAAAAACACTATTTGGTGTTGATTAACAATTAGGTCTACAGCAAACTCAATTGACCATGCTCCTGATAGGTAAAGGAAAAACACAATTGAAATGACTTGCGGGGAGTCCCAGGTTGCATGAAAAGTAGTTGGCCCTTTCATCTAGCCGCTAAAGTGACAGTCCTACCTGAATGATGGAAGGACACAGTCGTCTGTTGTCGTAGCTCGTGGGTTTCATGTGCGGTCTGGACTTGTTCTGTCCTCGCATTCGCTTGCTGTCCTGTTTCCCCGTCCTCTCCTGCTCATCCGGGTCTACTTTACATTTTTTCTCTTGAGGCTCTTCCAGAGAGTCCTCTGCCATCTCTTTTGGTCCTGCATCGTCGATGGCCTTGTCACCGTTAGGATCCTTCCCTCCAGAGTCCAGTAACTCATGGAACTTTTCTTTGGTTGTGAGAAACCTGAAAACAGAGAATGCTGATCACATTGATATATAATTGAGACAATTCAACAGGTAGGCCGAATACGTTAAGATTAGGGCTGTCCCCGACAAAAAAATATATTGGTCGGCCGAGAGTCCAATCGATTGGTAGAAATCTTTAAACATGTATTTTTCTATATATAGACACATCATATCTGTTTTAATCAAATCAACTATACTGAGCAAAAATATAAACGCAACATGTAAGGTGTTAGTCCAACTTTTAATGAACTGCGTTGTATTCTAGATTGAAATACAGTGGGGGAAGAAAGTATTTAGTCAGCCACCAATTGTGCAAGTTCTCCCAATTAAAAAGATGAGAGAGGCCTGTCATTTTCATCATAGGTACACGTCAACTATGACAGACAAATTGAGAAGAAACAAATCCAGAAATTCACATTGTAGGATTTTTAATGAATTTATTTGCAAAGTATGGTGGAAAATAAGTATTTGGTCACCTACAAAAAAGCAAGATTTCTGGCTCTCACAGACCTGTAACTTCTTCTTTAAGAGGCTCCTCTGTCCTCCACTCGTTACCTGTATTAATGGCACCTGTTTGAACTTGTTATCAGTATAAAAGACACCTGTCCACAACCTCAAACAGTCACACTCCAAACTCCACTATGGCCAAGACCAACGAGCTGTCAAAGGACACCAGAAACAAAATTGTAGACCTGCACCAGGCTGGGAAGACTGAATCTGCAATAGGTAAGTAGCTTGGTTTGAAGAAATCAACTGTGGGAGTAATTATTAGGAAATGGAAGACATACAAGATTGATAATCTCCCTCGATCTGGGGCTCCACGCAAGATCTCACCCCGTGGGGTCAAAATGATCACAAGAACGGTGAGCAAAAATCCCAGAACCACACGAGGGGACCTAGTGAATGACCTGCAGAGAGCTGGGACCAAAGTAACAAAGCCTACCATCAGTAACACACTACGCCGCCAGGGACTCAAATCCTGCAGTGCCAGATGTGTCCCCCTGCTTAAGCCAGTACATGTCCAGGCCCGTCTAAAGTTTGCTAGAGTACATTTGGATGATCCAGAAGAGGATTGGGAGAATGTCATATGGTCAGATGAAACCAAAATATAACTTTTTGGTAAAAACTCAACTCGTCGTGTTTGGAGGACAAAGAATGCTGAGTTGCATCCAAAGAACACCATACCTACTGTGAAGCATGGGGGTGGAAACATCATGCTTTGGGGCTGTTTTTCTGCAAAGGGACCAGGACGACTGATCCGTGTAAAGGAAAGAATGAATGGGGCCATGTATAGTGAGATTTTGAGTGAAAACCTCCTTCCATCAGCAAGGACATTGAAGATTAAACGTGGCTGGGTCTTTCAGCATGACAATGATCCCAAACACACCGCCTGGGCAACGAAGGAGTGGCTTCGTAAGAAGCATTTCAAGGTCCTGGAGTGGCCTAGCCAGTCTCCAGATCTCAACCCCATAGAAAATCTGTGGAGGTTGTTGAAAGTCCGTGTTGCCCAGCGACAGCCCCAAAACATCACTGCTCTAGAGGAGATCTGCATGGAGGAATGGGCCAAAATACCAGCAACAGTGTGTGAAAACCTTGTGAAAACTTACAGAAAACGTTTGTCCTGTGTCATTGCCAACAAAGGGTATATAACAAAGTATTGAGAAACTTTTGTTATTGACCAAATACTTATTTTCCACCATAATTTGCAAATAAATTCATTAAAAATCCTACAATGTGATTTTCTGGAGAAAAAATCTCATTTTGTCTGTCATAGTTGACGTGTACCTATGATGAAAATTACAGGCCTCTCATCTTTTTAAGTGGGAGAACTTGCACAATTGGTGGCTAACTAAATACTTTTTTTCCCCACTGTAACTGTTACTCAGTAAAATCTTTGAAATTGTTGCGTTTATATTTTTGTTCAGTATATATGCACTGAGCTTGTATGATGCTTTAAGCACACTGTTAGATGAAATAATTATCACACACAGATGACTAGAGGGAATCCGACCGCACTTGATTTGATTGTGCTAGGCCGGGCTCAGACTTGCTGCTTTGTGTTAAAAAAAAATGACAGCGAGTGTCTTGTCTCCCTCTCCTCCCTGCTGCAGCTACCACCACAGAACATCAACAGTGTTTATCGCGGTGTCCGTGTTGCTGAAGCTGCAACATAATTACAGCCATTTCTTAATGAAAAGTGATTAACAAAATCCCTCATTTATTTAGGAAAAACATTCCCTATTCCTTCAATCTTTGCTCTCTTTACGTGACACACGTATGCATAGCATGCATGAGGCAAATAGAGCCTGACTATAGCATATCCTAATCCCATGAATCAATTGGTTATAACAATGTCTGAACACCGTAACACAGCAAAATGGATACAGATGACGTGACAAACTCAAAACGGGGGAATGTTTGGTTGCTCAGGAGGTAAAGGGGAAGTCAGATGTGTGGAATAAATTTGACTAGTTGTGGAAAATACTGGAGATCAGGTAAGGAGCAAGTGCCGCATGCCAAACAGGTGCTGTTAGATTACAATATAATTTGTTTGGAACAATGTAAACACTAAATAAATTATAAGAGTACCAGCAAAGACTAAAAACAGTTGCATCGTTTACGCTAATTATTCAAAGGTCGCTTTGTTATTTTATTTTAAAACTAAAAGGCTTGATTGCAATTCAAATCATGAATGACTCGTATGCTGTGTGATGGCACAAACAAATGAATGATTAATATAGTAGCCTATAAGTATTGAAATGTAGGCCTAAGTAAGTTACAGTATTAAAACAAAACAGGATGTGCTCTTAGGCCTACACCTTGATGGAATAGTATCCCCCCTCCCCCCATAAAAAAAATAAAGTGGTTGTCCCACTGGCTATCATAAGTTGAATGCACCAAATTGTAAGTCGCTCTGGATAACAGCATCTGCTAAATGATGTAAATGTAAATGTGATTATACAAGGCTGCTATACTAAGCCTACTAATGATAATGACATTACATATTATAATGATCATAATAATAAGGAGATCAAGTAAAAGGAGCATTATTAGGCTATTAATATTATAAATATAATCCCTGTTCCATCAGTACTCATGTCAGACTGGTGATGGTCTGGGGCAGCCAATTGTATCCACTGAGGGACGTTTTCTTCCAGCCAAGCAGCAACGGGAAGCACACTTACTGGGTTTTAATAGCAGCTCTGCCTTTATCAGTCCCATTCATCCCATGTCCATGGCTTTCTGTAGGAATATTTGGGGTTGTCTCAGTCTCCATAACTCCCTCTGAAATAAACATCACATTAGTTGGTAAGTTAGCTACCATTATTATCTAACGTGGCAGACAGTTGCTTGCTTTAACACTTAACGTTAGAGTTGACACTGGTCTCGGCTTTTGGCTGGCTTGAACAAGGGTGGTAGCTTTACTTAATACATTATGGCTAGCTAGCTAGAAATCCATGTGTCAGCAACAAAATACTACTGCAATGTTGCAGTAACACATTAGGAAAAGCAACAACCATAGCTATTATCATTAAACGATACATTTCCAGATACATCCATGGAAAATTCATGACAAGTTAAGCAAACATAGCTACCCAGCTAAACTTGGCGAGCTGTATTTTATGACTGACAAATGCAGACGACAGCTAGCCCTGCACTGCAGCTAACTAGCAAGTCAAGTTAAACTGGCCGTAACGTTAGCTAACCATGTGGAAAAAGTAATTACGCAAAAGTAAACTATTACTAAAACTATGGTAATATGCTAAGGTGACAATACCAGTCAATTAAAAACTCAAGAGTACCTGATACTCCAACACAAACTAGCTACCACGGCATGACAATCGAACTGCGCAAAACCTTATCCGGTCCGTGTGACGCATTTACCCAAATATTTGGTTCCGAGCAAAAAATTATTCCGTAAAAGAGGCGTTCAGTTGTATTCAATCTTTCATATTTATTAATTGATAATGTAAAAAATTATAATAAAATAGTACTGAGCGACCAAGTCAGTGTTTTATGAGGTCTGTTAGATTTTGGTTCGATTATTTAAAAAAATAATCACGGTTTTCGAAATGTTTTTTGAAACATTAAATGCACTATGCATTATGTGGGTTGAATGCTGTAACAACACAGAATTAAACAATCACAAGTTTAGTCGTTCTTCAAAGTAAATAAGGCATGCTTTTATGACTGCTGAATACCAACTATAAATCACTTAGATAATGTATTTTCAGGTAGAGATACCTTGCAAAGCAACTGCTCTCCTCTCGATTTCGCAATCTTTTATCTCTTTTATGTAGCAGGCTTGACCTGATTTATCTCTAGAGAAACTGCGCATTGAGCTCACATAAAAAAAGAGGGGGAAAAATTAATGTAATTCAAATAATTGAACCAACGTTGGTCAATTAGTTGTTTAAAACCGAAAGATAACCGAAATTTCGGTTAATCAATGAAAACATTTTTTGATTCAAATTGTGTTGAGATTTAAAATTGTGTCGATTTTTTTTTGTATTTTAGACAACAGAGGACGCTGTTTCCTGAGGAAGAGTTGGGCTCAAAATAGTTACATGCCTTTGCCTCCATGGTCTGCTGCCTGACTACCCATCCCCACGCCCACTCGTGTTTCTTCTCCATGAACCCACCGCCCAGGGGTGTGAGGGGTCTGAGTAATCAAAGCAAGGTGATGTGCCTTCCCGTTCAGAGGGGGCAGTGTAGCAATCCTCGCAATATGAGCCAAGTTAAAATCGGGGGGGGGGGGGGGGTTGGCCCTGACCAGAACTCAAATCCAGGTCCAGTGACTGTCAACCCAACACCTTAACTGTTTGGCCAAGATGTCTGAACCTCTTCATTGAGGTCACCAGGTGTTGGGTTAAGGTTGTTACAATAACACACTTAAGGTTGTTACAATAACAAACATCTGATGTGTGCAGGCATGATGTTACTGAGATGAACATAAATTAAATTACTTTGGTGTGTACTGTAGGTGCTTCTGTACTCTAGGCACAGCTTTAAGCCCTGTGACATTATGTATTCAGAGGCCTTTGCCCTGGAGCAGAAATACCCTCCGCTAGTGATAGTGGCCTACATTTAGCATGCACCACTTCAGTCACACAAGGGAGGTAAAACGGTCTGGGGAACAGGCCTGGGCACCAACTTTGAAAAAAGGCTTCTTTTGCTCTTTCAAGAGAGAAATGGTAGGTTGTTATGCCTTCAGCCTGAATTATGTCTGTAGGCTCTTATTTCTCTGGCCTACAGTTCAGTTAGCCTTGTTTATTCAAGTAAATAACTGTTAAATAGAGAGGGATGTTAGATAAAATACTGTGTTGCTAATGCATTACTTCAAACATGCTCTCTCATTGCAGGGGACAGAAGGTGGTTTTGAGTTACCAGTTTTGATGAATGCCTTATGCAGAAATTATGTCATGTTATTGCCCGTGCAAAGTCAAACCAGTATGTGATTCATGACAGCTTCATACATTCTTTGTACATCTCACTTTCATTGTCAAACTGCCCAAAGGCAAAATTACTAAAACACATGTACCACAGCAATAATTACCCATTTTTTTTTGAAAGTATTATGTTTTGGCCTCATAACAACATGCTCATGTTGAAGCTTGCATGTCCTTGTGAAGTGAAAACATTCATGCAAGAGTTGATAGAGCACATTTTATTTATGACTTATCAAATACTCCAATCTTATGGGAATTTGTTTAAAGCTACAGATGACAACAATTAACTATGGGGAAAGTCTTCCATCTGGAATTCAATACAACCTGTCAATGCTTATTAAGTGTCTTTACAAACTGCGCACAAACATCTTATTCTGAAAGCTGGAAACATCTATGCTCTGTGAGCCTTCTGAGAAGTGTAACTTGGTCAAAAAAAAACATTTGATTTCACCAAATGTTAACATTCTGTCATAAAGAGCACATGTTCAGGGAGTGGCAATTGAATGCAAGCTTCACAAACAATTTTTTATTGCTAAAACATTTCTGGCCTCTTTATCTATGGGTGACGTGTTATGCGAGACCCGCTCAGTTTTCCACCACAAAGAAACACTGTTCAACTGGCGACCAGGGTCAGCCTGTAGGCACCCAGCCCGCCACAAGGAGTCGCTAGAGCCAAGTAAAGCCCCACCGGCCAAACCGTTCCCTAACCCGAACGACGCTGGGCCAATTGTGCACCGTCCTACGGGACTCCCAGCCACAGCCAGTTGTGACACAGCCCGGGAATGAACCCAGGTCTGTAGTAACGCCTCTAGCACTGCGATGCAGTGCCTTAGACCGCTGCGCCACTCGGGAGGCCCGAACACTTATTCATTTAATATAACAGGCTTTTAAAATTCAATATTGGTGCACATTTTCTACTTAAAATATCAAAGAGACGCAAAAGGCACTCTTTGTAAAATGACCCAACTTGTATTAGTAGGCTAGTAATGGTTTTTACAATACCACAAACCCTCCTGTTATGTTGTTTTATTTGTCCAGAATGGGTAATTACTTAAGTTGTAAGTCGTTAGACAGTGCCTTATTGCACTATTTTTTTGCCCAAATCTTCCTCTGTGGTCTAAAATACAAAAAACCCTTGACACAATTTTAATCAAAACATGTTTATCAGAATCATACTTTTTTTTTTGTGCTGAGTGATTAACCAACATTTTATAGCCTCGAGATATAGCCTAGTGTTAGCGAACTACATGAGAAAAAGAATATGTGAAGAAAGAACATTCTGGAATGCTGACTGCTGTTGCTGATTTTACCTCCTATTGCATGTCAAACTTCAGTGAGGCTGATATGATTTCAAAACAACCCTCTATTGAGGACATAAATTGGGATAGATGGGGGTTTTAACTCAGTCAAATTGATTTTTCTCACTCAAATTAACTTTGGGCTCAATGAAGTGAGTAAAGTAGGATAGAGGGAGAGAGATATTGTGTATCGTTTTGGGCAGTTAGGCCTATATCCAACTGTAACGACAGACAGTGGGAGACGGGAAGCAAGTACAGGGTGAGGATTTAATAATAAATAGACATGAAACAAAGCAAGAACAGCGAGCGTCTGGACGAGATAAACAAAACATCAATGCAGACACATGGAACAATCTGAGGAACAGACAGATAGACTGGAACGAATTGCAAAAATCTCTGAAGCTGGAGACTCTTATCTCCCTCACTAACTTTAAGCATCAGTTGTCAGAGCACCTTACCGATCACTGCACCTGTACACAGCCCATCTGAAATTAGCCCACCCAACTACCTCATCCCTATATTGTTATTTATTTTGCTCTTTTGCACCCCAGTATCTCTATTTGCACATCTAGCATTCCAGTGTTAATACTAATTGTAATTATTTTGCACTATAGCCTATTTATTGCCTTACCTCCATAACTTGCTACATTTGCACACACTGTATATATATTTTCTGTTGTATTTTTTGACTTTATGTTTTTTTACCCCATATGTAACTCTGTGTTGTTGTTTTTAATCGCACTACTATGCTTTATCTTGGCCAGGTCGCAGTTGTAAATGAGAACTTGTTCTCAACTGGCTTACCTGGTTAAATAAAAAAAAATATATATATATATTGGGGAGGAAATAAAGCAGTGATGAAGTCCAGGTGAGTCCAATGAAGTGCTGATGCGCGCAACGATGGTGACAAGTGTGCGTAATGATGACCTCGAGCGCCAGGGAGTGGGGAGGCAAGGCTTGGAACGCAACCGGACATTATTAATTGTCATGAATTTCATTTGGAACATGATCAACTGCAGGGGTCAATTTTCCTCTGCTCACCTACAGTGGGGAAAAAAAGTATTTAGTCAGCCACCAATTGTGCATGTTCTCCCACTTAAAAAGATGAGAGAGGCCTGTAATTTTCATCATAGGTACACGTCAACTATGACAGACAAAATGAGATTTAAAAATCCAGAAAATCACATTGTAGGATTTGTAATGAATTTATTTGCAAATTATGGTGGAAAATAAGTATTTGGTCAATAACAAAAGTTTCTCAATACTTTGTTATATACCCTTTGTTGGCAATGACACAGGTCAAATGTTTTCTGTAAGTCTTCACAAGGTTTTCACACACTGTTGCTGGTATTTTGGCCCATTCCTCCATGCAGATCTTCTCTAGAGCAGTGATGTTTTGGGGCTGTCGCTGGGCAACACGGACTTTCAACTCCCTCCAAAGATTTTCTATAGGGTTGAGATCTGGAGACTGGCTAGGCCACTCCAGGACCTTGAAATGCTTCTTACGAAGCCACTCCTTCGTTGCCCGGGCGGAGTGTTTGGGATCATTGTCATGCTGAAAGACCCAGCCATGTTTCATCTTCAATGCCCTTGCTGATGGAAGGAGGTTTTCACTCAAAATCTCACGATACATGGCCCCATTCATTCTTTCCTTTACACGGATCAGTCATCCTGGTCCCTTTGCAGAAAAACAGCCCCAAAGCATGATGTTTCCACCCCCATGCTTCACAGTAGGTATGGTCTTCTTTGGATGCAACTCAGCATTCTTTGTCCTCCAAACACGACAAGTTGAGTTTTTACCAAAAAGTTATATTTTGGTTTCATCTGACCATATGACATTCCCCCAATCCTCTTCTGGATCATCCAAATGCACTCTAGCAAACTTCAGATGGGCCTGGACATGTACTGGCTTCGGCAGGGGGACACGTCTGGCACTGCAGGATTTGAGTCCCTGGCGGCGTAGTGTGTTACTGATGGTAGGCTTTGTTACTTTGGTCCCAGCTCTCTGCAGGTCATTCACTAGGTCCCCCCGTGTGGTTCTGGGATTTTTGCTCACCGTTCTTATGATCATTTTGACCCCACAGGGTGAGATCTTGCGTGGAGCCCCAGATCGAGGGAGATTATC